GTCACTGTGCAAATGCACCTGCTGCCCTGAGCCATTCCTCGGTCGCTGGGCAGAGAGGTGCTTCCCATTACTATGTCATGAAAATGAAGTGCAGCTGCGCAGGAAATTAAAAGGTGCAAACACAGCGGCTTGGCTGTAGGTTATTAACATGGATGAGAACATGGAAAAACTAAAAAAAGTGTGAGACCAAACTATAAAATATACAAAATAGAGAAAGAAACTATCAGCAAGGAAAAAATGTTACAATAAAAAGAAATTTAATTTCACCTAACGCATCTGACAGTCCTGGGCCTGCATCTACACAAGTGACAGGTGCTCAGTGGTCACCATCTCTGTCACCTGATAATGAATGTGCTTATCATGTGTTATAACCCAAAGCCCAGGACCCTCCCTGGGCTCCTCTGTCCCAGCCTCCAGCCAGAGCCCGCTATATGGCAGGACACATGCAAATAGGGCCATCCCCTGCTGCTGAAAACAGCCCAGCCCGGCACTGCGGCTCTGCACAGGAGCCCAGCCGGGATCCAGGGGCCACTCGAGTCAGGACAGATGCGGACACTCACCATGGAGCGTGGGCTGAGCTGGCTGCTCCTCCTGGCTCTTCTAGGGGGTCAGTGCTGGGAGTTGGAGACCATGAGGAGGTGGGGGACAGGAGAGGTAGAAGCGGTGGCTGAGAGCCAGTGTCCTGACTGCTGTGTCTGTGTTTGCAGGTGTCCGGTGTGAGGAGAAGCTGGTGGAGTCTGGGGGAGACTTGGTGCAGCCTGGGGGGCCTCTCAGACTCTCCTGTGCAGCCATAGGATTCACCTCCAGCAACAACTACATGAACTGGGTCCGCCAGGCCCCAGGAAAGGGTCTACAGTGGGTTGCAAGAACTTACAGTAATGGTGGTAACACATACTATGCAGACTCCGTGAAGGGCCGATTCACCATCTCCAACGACAACGCCAAGAACACAATTTATCTGCAGATGAACAGCCTGAAGCCCGAGGACACAGCCGTGTATTACTGTGGGAGAAGCACAGTGAGAGGAACAGGTGTGAGCCCAGACACAAACCCTGCAGGGACAGGAGGGGGCTGGGCTGGTCCACTGGGGTGTGGTCAGGACCCAGGGGCCCAGGACAGCAGGAGGCACAGGAGGCTCAGAGCACAGAGCACAGCCAGGAGCAGGTGCAGGGTGGGGCAGGGGCCTCCTGCCTGGGGCTCCCTCTGCAAGGCCTCAGCTCCCCAGGGGCCACTGCTCATCTCTTAAGGCTCCCACCCCCATTCCTGTGGAGCTCACTTAGGGGAGGTGACACTGTCTGTTCACAGATGAGACCTGTGTTGTCCTGCAGTTTTGTGGTATTCTGTATTATTTTTACAAGCAGAGCACTCCTGACTGCTTTTGCCTGTGTTAAGGGTCAGACCCAGGTGCCCTGGCAGGTGAGGCGTCAGTCAGGCAGAAGCAGCACACAGGAGCACTGCAGCAACATCATCACCCCACGTATGGAAAATTGTTGAAACAGTAACGGCCACAGAGAAGCCCGGACTCACCTTGGGGCCCTGTATGTGCTCAGATTTTCCTAATTGCCCCCCAAAATAGGAATGACAAATAAAGACAGACACTCCTCTGCTCCCCTGACAGACCTGACTCTCCCGTCATGGACCCCAAGAGCCACTCCCCATGGGAACCCCCAGGCTCCTCCCTCAATGACTTGCCCCTCAAGCACCTCCCCTGGACAGCACCTGAGCCCCTGACCTTCCCGGTCCTGTCAGCATCCTGGACCCCAATGCACCCTCTCAGCAGCACAGTCCTGACCCAGCTCTGCACACGGCTCAGGGCCGGGTCAGCAGGGCCAGGAGGGACCTCCCTGAGCCTGGGAGGTGGCTGCCCAGCGGTGGGGTGACCCAGGTCAGGGGTCCAGGGCAGGCGGCATAGCCTGCTGTCAGGAACACAGAGCAAGAGGCTCCTGCCCCCAACACGGACGCCAGGACCCGGCTGGTCAGCTGGTTTTACGTGGGAGCCGGCCCAGCTGGCAAAGGATGGAGCCCAGGAGGAGCAGCTCAGCCACTCCGTGGGCGACGTGGCCGTGGCCCTGCCACGTGCAGGCTTCAGTCCGAGTGGCCACTGGGACTTTGTGTCCAGTTGTCCCGGGCCTGTCCGTGTCCCGCCCTGTTCTGGCACTAAGGGCTTGTAAGACACACGGCGGCTCCAGGGTCCTGTGTCCCTTTGCCCCAAACACAGGGAACTGCCCGGCCTGGGATGGCGGCACAGCACTGAGCCTGGGCACACAGCCCAGTGG